CCCCCCCTCCTGTCTTCTGGCTCAGCGGCACCCGGTCGAAGCCGTGGCCTCAAGTCGGGCCTCGATGATATCGCCTCGCACCCCTTTCTGTAGAGACTCCGCCAATATTCTTGTCCTTCCCATTGATGTGTACAGAGGAATGCCCTGTGAACTCAATGTTTGACGTCGCCGCGGCGGCACCCCATGATGCTGTTCCCCCTTTTCTCTCCTGTAATGATTCGTTGGAAATTTCTCGCCTCCTTGCTTGCTAGCAGAGGGCATGGCCCCACTCTATTGAAGCACAAGCAATTCGCTCTGTGGTTTCTCCGCCCAGTATCAAGCATTGTTATCTTGAGAACGCACGTTCTGCTCTTTTGTGGGGAATCATCTTTGTGATAATCACCAACCATGGTGTCTGTTTCGTAAATGGTCAAGTCCCCTTCGCGCCCCCCCCCCCCAAANCCCCCCCCCCAAACAGATGGTTTAGCAGCAGTTTCTGCCTAGGGTCTGAGTACAGGGGCTCCGTGATTGGGGAAGATCAGTGGGATTGGCTCGAAGGGCAGCTCGAGGACAGCGATGCTTCGGTTCACGTGCTTGTCTCCACCCTTCAGGCGAGTCACAAGTGTCCGGGTTGTTGCCTCGCACGACCTGACACACAGGGTCCGCTTTTATTGGAGGAAACAACTTGTGTGTGTGTCCGAGAAGGCTTTCAAGATGATGAAGCTGACCTTTTGCTGATTTGAATGAAATGACAACCCCCGTGCAGAACGAATGAAGCCTTGCCACCTTTTAAGGGAATGGCAACCCACGTGCTGGACGAATGCTCCTCTCGATCAAATTCGCTCAATATCGACCAATCGGTTATCTTCCCGCCTACTCAGGTGTTGACGTCGAACCCTCTGGTGGAGTCGTGGGGCCACTTCCCCCGCAGCCGCGAGCGCCTGCTAGACCTGCTTCACCGCACGAACCCCCCTGGGCTGGTCATCCTATCCGGGGACGTCCATCACGCCGAATTGGCGTCGGGTTGGAAGGCGTCGCCTCCAACCGAAGGTGAGTTGTTTCTTTCGGATTTTCTCAGTTTATTGCTGCACTGATATTGAGGTTCAATTTCAACGTGGTTCACCCCCACCCAAGGGTGACTTTTGTTGCGGCGGGTGGAGGCGCACGAAAGAAATGGTTTCTTGCACACTCATGTAGGTAGGGGGGGGGAGTACTCGTACACCCAAGTGCAAGAATGAAGATCCAATAATGATGTTCAACTTTTCTCGACAGGAAGGCGTCCGCGTCAGTTTGACCAGGACGTACATTAGAAAGTACTGAGCGGAGACCGGAACGGTTTTTAATGTGAAGACAACAACAACAGCAACCCCTGGCTTGATGACCAATTTCGAGCTCTCTGCAAGGTTTGGTTTCCTCGTGCACTTTGTGCCGGATGCGGCGCAACCCATCTTGTTCCGTTGCACCACCTTCAACAGAAGGGCGGTTTTCCCTGAACAACACTTATGTCTACTCTGGGAGGGAGGGGAAGGGGGGAATAGTAAAAAAGCAGACCCCCTCTTACCGAACGAGCCACCCACAGCCTCGCAAGTGCGGTTCCTCTAGCTTTCTTCGAGATTCCTCTCCGCGTCCGTTCAATTTTCTTGTTTCAAGGTCTGTTGCTGCTGCGGGGGCGCTCTAGCTTCGCCCTGCCGAACAGGTGCTGCTCTCACGAACGAGTCTCAAAAACAAAAGGCCAATTCTAGCGTATTCACAGCTTACACCCCCACCGCTTCTACCGCTTCTGCTGCCGTAAATCCACCTCACTTCACGCTCATGCATGCACCACACTCCCTCCCCTTTCCCTCATGCATGCACCACAATGTACCTTCCGTTCACGCTCACGTATATGCGGCAGACTCTAGCAGCAGTGACAACGCTCTGCCGCCGGGGCATCCCACCGTCGGAGCCTCAGAGGGAGGGGCCTCGCGATGTCCGTTTGCAAAGAACGGCGGCGGGGGTGCTGCTGCTTCAGCTGCTTCTGCTGCTGGGCCGACTACGACGAAGGCTACCTGCGACCGGGGAGAAAAGGACTGCCTCTCCGCATTCCCCGGGGGAGGCGTTTCTGATTCGAGAGACGACGATGACGACCGGGAGAGGAGCGGCGCAAATGGTGCCGGTTCGGCGGAGTGTGCGGCGCATTCGGGCGTCGGCGGGGGGCCGGCGGATGGAAGGGGGGTCGTGGAGGTGACGACCAGCGGCATGACGCACTCGTGCCTTTCGGTCCACGGGAAGACCATGTGCGAGGCGTACTTGAAGAGGTGGAGGGAGCACCGCTGGAGGGACGATGCTTTCTATCTGTGAGTCTTTTTTTGTTTGTTTTGTGTATGTCGCTCTCCATTGTTGCATACGAAGTACCTTGTTTAGGATGTTCATACGAAGGCTCTTCTTTTGGATCTTCGGGAGGTTGCGGGATCACAGTATCCAGAAGGATTTCCTGGCTGTTTTTCGCGCTGCGATCACGTTAAGATGACTGCATTCTTCACCTTTGCGGCGCGTTTTTGTGGTTTTCGGGGTCCCGTGTTCTCCTCGCGGAGGGAGGGGTGAAGGGTTGCTGACTGCCTTTTTTTTGTCCTCCTCTAAAAACTAAGGCAAGCACCGCAGAGGGGAAAGTTGGGCAATAAAACAAGAGAAAATGAGAAAAGCTCCTGTGTGACCTTTCTCTCGTGTAACCCCGGCTGTTACGTCAGGTATATACGCCGAAAGGCCTGGAAACCGGCGCCAGAATAGCGGGGACGACCACACGCACACAGAACCACCGCTCTTTCCCCAAATTATCCGTCGTTCCGAGGCTACAGATATTTTCACCTTTACAGGGTATGTACCACTCATGAAAAAGAAAACGGTATCCCAGTGGCAACCATAACCACTGAGTACCAGAGTCACACATTGGACAGATCGTGAGCTAGTTCACCTATGTCCTACAGGTCACCATGGAGCAAACATACCTCGATCACCTATGTCCTTCAGCTTATCGTCGACCAAACATATCCCGATCATCTATGTCCTTCAGATCATGGAGCGAACATACCCCGATCGCCTATGTCTTTCAGATCAACAGGGACATACCCCTCGAAATAGCTAGCTCGATCTGTAGGAATATGATCTGTCCTATCCTAAATGTGCACAGTTATCAGTTTCCCTACAGCGGGCGCGCGACAGTTGTGCGGTGTAGGTTTTCCCGGCAATGCCCCCTTGTCCGAAACATCTTGTTCCCGCAGATTCCCATTGTATCACCGCGATGCAAGTAGCCTGGTGCTTTTGCTCCCCCTCCCATCCCTGCCGCTTATCGCCGCTGGTTCTTCGTCGGTGCAAACCTGTCGTTTTGATTCATCGTTTTGTTTCATCGTTTTCGATTTTGACGTTTTCTTTCTCTGACAGTGACAGCAACTTTGGGGACATCGAGATTGAGTGGGCCGAGGACGAGAGCGCTCCCCAGGTATGTTTTTGTGCACGTATGCTACAACACGGATTTTATGCCTACCCGGAAGTTGGTTTCGTACGAGTTTTGGAGTGGCACGGAAAGTATACCCCTCCCCCCACCCAACACTCCCCCCCCCCGTCGGCCTATTTGCCATCGGGGTTGGGTTTTCGTCGCTTGGCAACGACGTTTTAAAACAAGCCCCCCCTCGGTGTTTGCCATCGGGATTGGGTTTTCGTCGCTTGGCAACGACGATGTAAAACAAGCCCATTAACTTCGTGAACTCGGCAACCAGGTTACCGTTTTTTTTTTTACCTATGTTTTTTTCTTTGGCGGTAACCATAGTGGTGGTCGAGTAGATCATGTTGTGCGGGGTGGAAAACCCTCACTCCGCGCAAGGGGGATGATCGCACCACGT